CATTAGGAAACAAAATGTGTGGTTTTCTAATGTTCTATGTGAAGTAGTAGAGACACATTTTGTTTCCTAATGTTCTATGTGAAGTAGTGGACACACATTTTGTTTCCTAATGTTCTACGTGAACTAGTGGACACATTTTGTTTCCTAGTGTTCTACGTGAACTAGTGGACACACATTTTGTTTCCTAATGTTCTATGTGAGGTAGTAGATAGGACATTAGGAAACAAAATGTGTCTACTACTTTACATAGAACATTAGGAAATAAAATGTGTCCTAATGGTTTTCTAATGTTCTATGCGAAGTAGTAGAGACACATTTTGTTTTCTAATGTTCTACGTGAACTAGTGGACACACATTTTGTTTTCTAAAGTTCTATGTAAAGTAGTACAGACACATTTTGTTTCCTAAAGTTCCATGTAAAGTAGTAGAGACACATTTTGTTTCCTAATGTTCTATGTGAAGTAGTAGAGAAACATTTTGTTTCTTGATGGTCTATGTGAAGTAGTGGAGACATTTAGTTTCCTAATGTTCTATGTGAAGTAGTGGACACATTTTGTTTCCTAATATTCTATGTGAAGTAGTGGACACATTTTGTTTCCTAATATTCGATGTGAAGTAGTGGACACATTTTATTTCCTACTGTTCTATGTATAGTAGTAGAAACACATTTTGTTTGCTAATGTTCTATGTGAAGTAGTGGACACATTTTGTTTCCTAATATTCTATGTGAAGTAGTTGACACATTTTGTTTCCTAATATTCTATGTGAAGTAGTGGACACATTTTATTTCCTACTGTTCTATGTAAAGTAGTAGAGACACATTTTGTTTCCTAATGTTCTATATGAAGTAGTAGAGATTAGGACACATTTTATTTCCTACTGTTCTATGTAAAGTAGTAGAGACACATTTTGTTTCCTAATGTCCTATCTACTACCTCACATAGAACATTAGGAAACAAAATGTGTTTCTACTACTTTACGTAGAACAGTTAGGAAATAAAATGTGTCCACTACTTCACATAGAATATTAGGAAACAAAATGTGTCCACTACTTCACATAGAACATTAGGAAACAAAATGTGACCACCACTTCACATAGAATATTAGGAAACAAAATGTGTCCACTACTTCACATAGAACATTAGCAAACAAAATGTGTCCACTACGTCACATAGAATACTAGAAAACAAAATGTGTCTGTATTACTTCACATAGAACATTAGGAAACAAAATGTGTCTGTATTACTTCACATAGAACATTAGGACACAAAATGTGTCTACCACTTCACATAGAACATTAGGAAACAAAATGTTTCTATACTACTTCACATAGAACATTAGGAAACAAAATGTGTCTCTACTATCTTACATAGAACTGTAGGAAACAAAATGTGTGTCCACTAGTTCACGTAGAACATTAGAAAACAAAATGTGTCTCTACTACTTTACATAGAACTTTAGGAAACAAAATGTGTGTCCACTAGTTCACGTAGAACATTAGAAAACAAAATGTGTCTCTACTACTTTACATAGAACTTTAGGAAACAAAATGTGTGTCCACTAGTTCACGTAGAACATTAGAAAACAAAATGTGTCTCTA